TTCCTGCTTGACTTTTGGTGGAAGTCTCGCGCGAAATGCTCGCTTTGGAGACTTTGACGTGTGACTTTTGGTGGAAATCTCGCGAAGTGGAGTGAGTTTTTGAGGAAGTCTCGCGCGAGACGCTCGTTTTGGAGACTTGACGAGTGGAATTTGGAAGAAAGTCTCGAACGAAATGCTAGTTTTGCAGACTTGACGCGTGAGTTTTGGAGCAAATCCCGTAATTACAACACGCCAGCTTTGGAGACATGACGGTTGACTTTTGAAGACTTTAGTAGTAGTGCCGGCCCCACAAGGGTGTCCTGCAGAGTCCTACAAGAGTCTCCTCTCCCATGCGCGGAAACAAAACCTAATGTTCCGCAAGAGTGTCAGCAAGGTTGTTCAACAAGAGTGCCATACACGAGAGTCTCCCAAAAGAGTGACCCAGTGTTTTACAAGAGTGTTCCGCAAGAGCGTCCCACAGAACTGAAATACAAGAGTGTCCCACAAGAGTGTTCCGCAAGAGTGTCGGCCAAGAGTGTCCCAGAAGAGTGTTCCATAAGAGTGTCCGACAAGAGTGTCCTGCAAGAGTGTCCTACAAGGGTGTCCCACAAGAGTGTCCTACAAGAGTGTTCCGCAAGAGTGTCCCACAAGAGCTACAAGAGTGTCCCACAAGAGCGACATACAAGTGTCGCACAAGTGTGTCCCACCAACACGAGTGTCCTAGAAGAGTGTTCGGCAAGAGTGTCCCACAAGAGTGAATCTCATACAAGAGTGTCCCACAAGTGTCCTAAGAGAGTGTTCCGCAAGAGTGAGTGTTATACAAGGTGTCCCCCCAGGGTGTCCCACAAGACTTTTCCATAAGAGTGTCTCGCAAGAGTGGCTGACAAGAGTGTCCTACAAGAGTGTCCCACGAGAGTGTCCCAGAAGAGTGTCCCTCAGAAGTGGCAACTTGGAGCACAAGTGTGGTGCGGGGAGCTGTGGCCCCAGGACAGGCCACTTGGTAGTACAAATGTAGTGCGTGAAGGGGCTTCTGGCAGGTGCGGCCTACTGGCAGCTTTTGTAGTACAACTGTAGTACGGGAAGCAGCTTCTCGGAGCTGTGGCCTCAGAAGTCTCCTACAAGAGTGTCAACAAAAATTTGGGTGTTTGTTTTCGAACACATGCTTGCATTTGGGTTCGTGGGTTCCATCTTGTTTTGTTCGTTCATCGAGACCAGACTTTGCGACACAAGAACCATACTCTCCTCAGTTCAAGAGAATTGCTACAACAATGGAGGGCCCAAAGACAGGCCGATGAGTTACTTGGACGTGTAGCACCAACAAATTGAATCTGAAACTGATCAAACCCAAGTAGAATATAGACCTATATACATCAATGCAAGCAAGATCACGTCCCCCTTGGCTGTTTACCAGCTCTCTGCAGAATACACTTGGTGGATGAGCTGATCTGCTCCAATTTAGTCTCAAAAAGTCAAAGATTTGGATTCATCAGATTCAAAGCAACATGTCAACGGATCGGTTAGCGGACCGATTGCATGCGCCGGTCAAGAAGTCGCTCCAGTGGCTGCCGTTGTGGAGAAGCAGCCGCGCCTCGACACAAACTAAAGGATTCTGAATTCTCATCAGCTGCGTTTCTTTTCTTTTAGACATTTGTAATAAGGGTATGGCCGGGAAAGGGCTAGTGAAGTCCGACCTCAAGCCGAAGCGCTCTTGTGAACCCTTTGGGTAGTCAAGAGCGGTTTTCGATGACAAGAACACTATTCACATGATGCGTCAACATTTGGGAACATAAGGATTTGGTGAGTGTGTTCAGTGTTATCGTGTTTTTGCTAGAACCCACGGTTTGAGATCTCGTGTCCATCACTTCTCTCACTTGTGTCTTTCGTAAATTTTGACCGTACCTCGCATTGAGTCTTGAATGCTCTTGACCCGTTCTAGGCCTAAGTGGGACTCAGTGGGACCAAAGAGCCTTACTGTGAAGTGGCCTGCAGGTTTGTGTTCGGCCAATCCCTCTGAAAATGATCTGAGACCATGCAAATGACGCTTCAGCTCAAGCTGGTGAATGCAAAGCTTCCGATCCAACTTGTACCGCAGCCTCTGTGTGAGCTTCCGGATCCAGCAACTCTTCAACAGACCACTCCGAGCTGCAAACGAAATGGCAGTCAAACTGCTTGGATCCTCTCACTTACGCTGATTCTGCTGCACCCAAACGTGGAAGAGCCGAGAGCTCCAAAGCTCCGAGCCGAGTGCTCCGAGGAACTTGTTTTTCCAGCTTCAAGGAGCCCAGTTCCTTGCTTTGAGCCAACTCGTCGCGCAGCTCCGCCACCAGAAGAGGGACTCGCAAAGAGAAACTCGACGTACTAGCGATGGCCTCCAACCGGTAAAAAAGTCTAAGAGATGAGAAGAGGAAGGTAGGGATGTCTTTTACCTGTAAAGACTACCTTACTCTTCTCATCTCTTAGACTTCTTCATGTTGTTCTTTTCCATACGACTTTTTACTCTGCAAAACTTTGCGAGCTTTTAAGCCGCAAAGAACACTCAGAGCTAGAGCGCGGGAAATGGTAGGGGGTTGCTACTAGGCAAAACTTAGCTACCACGTTCTTGGGGTTGTCGTTGGTTCATCAACCTTCTAGGTTTCGCAAATGCCTAGTCATCTTCGATTGTGTCAAGAAAATGGTGCCACTCATGAAATGGGTTTAGGGAGTCCTATATTTGGTGCTATCGGTACAGTTTTGAGTTTGAAGGGCCCAAAGCTTCCTGATATCAGGTACACAACGGACACATGATCTTAATGTGCTGCTACCATTCTTGGTCCGTATCCATGCAGTCTTGCCTCTTGGCACAGAGACGATGGATGCCATGGCGGCACTGCCGTGTGTTCTGGACCTGAAGAGTCACATCCTGAGCGGCAAGACTATGTATGTCCGCGTGGAAGTCCGTTGGTCTCATTGCCTGCTGTCTCAAGAAGTCCAGACCCGGTCGGCTGAAGTCTGTGATGCAAAATTGAAGAGACCACAAGCTTCGGAGCTAACCGCAGGTGCAAAGAACCCCACTGATGCATGGCTGGCCGGATATGGCCATTCTATGCCAGTCTTTACATTGGCGCGCCAGCCGAATGTGTCTATGTCTTCACAAGTTCGAGACTTGGCTTTTGTCAGTTGCTGCTCGTTGTTGCTTGTCTTCACTCACGAGCCAAAAACAGCTTTGACCCGGGGCACTTAGTTGAGATCAAAATCTAGTGGTCTTGCTGGGACCAACAACCTTCTAGACTAAACTAACAACTCTCCGAAAGAGTTCAAAAGGCTTCAGCGTTAAGTTAAACTCTTGCAGATGTCATGTTGTCTACCCCCGTTCACAGCAAAAAACGTCCCTTGCTTTAAACTGTGAGACAAAATAGGTGAAGGGAAGGGAAACAACAAGTGCCAAGCCCACAGCATGAAGCACTTTGCTGCACAAGCACATCGACGTCTTGAACATGAAAGGACCAAGATCGGTCTTTCATGGTTCACAACCTTAACTCCGAAGAGAGGAAAAGAGGTTCTCAAGGGCTTCTCTAGCTCTCATATGTTCAGTGGAGGCCAAATTGACTTTGATGGCGCTTGCCGAGTTTGACACTGGAAATTACTGGCTCTAATTTGACCCTCGCCTTCAGATTGAACATCTCCGTTCACGTCCGTTCATCCCCTCATCGGAAGGGTCCAGGGATTCCATGGGAGAAGACCGTCCGTAGTCATGCGGAGATCCTCTTCCAGGTGTGGATTATCCAACTTGTGCTGTACAACCTCTTGAAGAGATGAGGCTGGATCTGTCAGTGTCTCTAAATAGGAAGTCACCAAACTGTTTCTTCGAAAAGGGCCATTGCAAAACCTGAAGGCACCCGCTATTTTTAAGTGTCGCAGAACAGAAGAACACCAGATCAACAAAAACTTTCTGGTTGCAAGGGGAGACCCCTATTTCAGAGACACATACTTTTGTAACGAAGCGATTGTCTTGACGTGCTGGTCTTCCGCGGGTCAAAAGACGTAAAAGTGGGACGGTTTGAGGGAACAAAGTATGCATACTGAGGAAGGTCTTCAGGCAACCTGAGGGAAGAAGTGAGGCAACCCATGGCGAGCTACTGTTGTGCACCTTGCCAAGTCCGTTGAAGGCGGCGTAGAGTTTCTTCAATCACTGTCCAGCAAAGAGCAATCCATACACAACTGCTACGGATCTCAAATTGGCAGGATCCAGGTTCAAGTCAGCAATTTCATGATCAGTTCATCTATATATGTTTCCAACAATACAATATATTGGGGTAGAAACTTCCTCTACACCTTCCCAAATACAATGTGAGTCGGGTCGGTGGGACTTCTTAGAAGTGGCACATTTGACTCTTGCCCCTGGCTGCTTGGTTGTGCAAGGCTGAAATTCCGAGAAAAAAGAAACTCACATGAAAAGATCAAAAAGGATTAGCTTTTGGACTTTGACGATATCAAGGCGACCTCCCCCGCAGCTGAGTCGAATGATCAGCAGGGGCTGGAAAGCCGCATAAGTAGCAAATGAGCAAATGCTTCTCCACTTGAACACCCAACATGTTTGACACGGAAATTCCCACAGCACCATTTTCTTCGGGGTGGAGTGCATAGATCCTAGATCGACATCTTACGGCTACTTTTGGCAACATCGTCAACATGTTTAACCGTAAGTCAACTGAGTTATCCAGGGGAACGTTTGAGGTCGTTTCCTGCGGAAGGCTGATCGCCACCTTTACCAGCAAAAGAATGGAAGAAACGAGGGGGGCACGCGCCGGGAAAAGCAAAAGTGGGAGTGCCTCAATGGCTTCGGGAGTTCCACCCACAAATGCATCATGCATTGATGCATCAAAATGCTGCTGTTTCGCATCATTCTACAAGGTGTGAATCACAACTTCAAGCAATGGATGCATACCCCGAGCCCACTTGAGACACAGATCCCAACCGTGTCCCGGTACAGCTTCGACGCGGCCCAGAGAATTTTTATTTAGACCTCGCCGGGCCAAAGATCATCATTTGTCTCCTCACGGCTGGCCAAAGCTCGAACACGTCTAATGCCACAGGATTGAACTAAACGAATCAAAAAAACACATATTCTGGGTTGGAGGCCATCAGTAGTAGGTTGAAGGCCATTCCATTCCTATTAGGTTTCTTTTGCTAGTAGATTGGTACGCCTTACTGAAAATTATCGCTTGAATCTCCGCCATCGGTCTCACAGGAAGACCGTCCTGATGTCCGCAGCTGTCCTGAGGCCTCAAATGCAGATATGATATTGACTTGGGTCGAACACATCTCTACAAAAAATCACCATTCTCTCTATATATACTGTGTATATATATATATATATTGTATAATTATATATACTTTTACATCTTAAAAAAAGCACGGATGTGAAGGACAGGTCGGCTTTGGTCACAGCTTCAGCCAACTTACTTTGGCGTTAGTGCAGTTGAATGTTGTTGCTTGCGTCGTTCAGGTTGCCAACGACCTGCTCCGGACACAAAGGAACATTGCCAACGACCTTTCGCGCTCACAGATGCGATCAGGCAAACAGGTTCCCAGTCTTAAAATTATTCAGTTCTTGAAGCATTATAGAGATATCTTTGTGGTCAAACCATTGACTTGTTTGGTGAGTAGAGGCAGGATGGATGTTAATCACCACAAAAACATGTTGCCGGAAACTTGTCCAATCAATCCAGGTCAACGTCGTCTTCTCTTCAGCTCAGCAGCTCTGTAGAAGCGCTCAAGGATTGCACCTGCGGTGTCCTCGCATGGTCGGGCAAGACCCTGGGCATGTGCGCTTCACATTATACGCTGAGCTTGGATGAATGGTTATTTAATGTTATTTCTGTTTGCAATGGTCAACACCCTAGTATATCTGCGTCTTGTCTCTTGTCGGGTCCCTCCTTACAAACCACGCCAACTTGGGAGAAAAAAGAAGCATGTTATTCTCGTGGATGTACAGTAGAGGCCAAGAAGAGGCGGCCACTGATCACCCAAAAAGGCCCAAGCAAAGGAGGGGCCGAGAGTGCCAGCGGCCTAGCCAAGTCGCGCGAGAAGCGAATTGGCCATGAGCTGGTCAGCTTCAAAGAAGAATCAACGAGAAGAATCAACGCTCGAAATCTCAAAAGGCCAACCCAAAGCACTTGTTACTAATAGCTTCTTGTTACTACTAGTAAGGCACTTGTTACTAGAAGCGATGCACTTGTTCCTAGTAGCGTCCTTGCTTCTAATAGCTTCGAAGATGCCAAACGAAGGCCGGGATTTACAAAAGTCAGGGGGAGTCAGTCTGGCAAGTGACAGTCCTCCTCCCGTGAAGGAGGATCAAACCTGCAGGGCTGGCATCAACCGGTGAGGATTTTGATATTGCGAAGGGGATACCCTCGATACATTCATGTTTTGCTAGTGGAGGAATCCATTCTTTTGCTGGTTGACAACTTTTTGTGGAGCAAACAGTGACTTGATGTTCGGATCCACACCAAACGTCTGTTCGATAGAGAAATTTATTTGTTCTGCCGCTCAAGGAGATTGACCAGCTCAAACAAAAACTGGACTTAAGGAGGGAGTGGCAAGAGCCGGTGGTCATCAGGATCCGTCCATGAAGCCAACAGCCAACTGATTGTGACTTGGGCCAGCCTTGTTACTAATAGCTTCTTGTTACTACTAGTAAGGCACTTGTTACTAGAAGCGATGCACTTGTTCCTAGTAGCGTCCTTGTTTCTAATAGCCTGGCACTAAATTCCAAGTGACTCCTCAAGCTTGCCTATCAACAAGCTTAGCCGCTGCACCTGGTCCAGTCGTCGTCCTGTAGTAGATAGATGCCGAATCCCCCAATCCAATTCTACTGCCATCCCTATCCCATTCTACTACGATAAATCACAGGATGCACTTGCAGGAACACTTGGGCTCTTCTCCACTGAGGCTCTGGCTTGGATTCAGAGCCTCGGAATGTTGTCAACACGGGACGCATCTGTTTGTTCAATGGCTCTGAAACAAACACACAAATGCGCAAACCAGAATGAGAAAACGGGTGAACTGGTTGCATGTGAACCCAGCCGACGGAGATCACACGCATCCGTTGGTGCATATGCGCGGGTTTTGTTCATTTTTATGCTCTCTAGTCGGTAGCACTGAGGTTCCGCACTGGACCCGGGTCCGCTACAAAGTCCGCCATACCTGACCCAAGTCCGTCCAGGGGCACCAGGGAGATGGGTCAATGATTCTACATATTATCCTTGTTGTATTTTCCTTCAACAAATATGATCAAGCGAACAACCTTGGTTGATATCGGATCACTGACTTATGCCGCCAGGTCACGCGATGACTGTGTCCAAATTCGGCTCAAGGAAAAATGGGACAGAGTATCGATCCTTGTCCTTGGGGAGAAGACCCAGTTTCTCTGGTGTCTGTTGTTTTTCTTTTGGAGAAACTCAGTTGAATCCTTGGTGACCTTGCAGTCAGTGCTTTTGGAGCAAGGTCATCTCTCTGCAAAGTTGTGGAGTGTTGGTGATATGCGCTCTGTGGACCAGTAGCATTGAAAGATATTGAACAAACATCTGAATCTAAGTGTCTACATGTTCTTTGGAACTTTATAGCCTATGGGCCTATACCTTGTTAAAACTGATCATTCTTGGAGCGGTGAAGTCGAGGGACGAGCGTCTTGTTCTGTTTTTCCTTCTCTGTGCGGAACTGAAGTTCACTTGGTGCCCTGCGCTGGTCGTCACGACCCGATGCACGGTGGACCTAAGCAACAGGTCTGGATCATCGGTGGAGGTTCTGGTGTGGCAATCGAGACTTACATTGGCCGCACCAGAAGCCTGGTGAGTTTACATCTGCAGTGAGTTTACAAAAAGGACCTGATATGATCAATCGTATCAAGGTCATACTAACAATGGGGATACCTCAAATTGAATACGGTGGCTGTAAGCAATCCACCTCGCCAAATCTACGATAATCAGATAATTAATTCTTAAACCACTTCCCGCTCCCGCTCAGCTCGATTTACCCGGTGGTGACCGTGGCCAACTTTGTACAGAGCGTCTTGCTCGAAGAAATGCGGCTCACTTCATGGCACTGCAGGGAAGGACTTTGCTGTTCCACTGTGCAACGTCATCACCTTGCTGCATTTGTACGATGCATTATGTCAATTTGCGCCCCAAAAAGAACAGTCATGCTGCGGCAACGAGATGGTCAACTTGAAGTCATTTTCCTGCACCTCCATGCCTTTTCGGATCTTCAAGCAGGACGACCAACGTAGAGAACTTGTGGCATGAAATCTCCACTGGAGTCTCAGGTGTTTTCCCAATCCCACAAAGTCAATGCTCGACATGGATAGTGCTATTACTAGAGACACCCACTGAAGTGGCGTCCTTGCCCCTGGTGCCAACAAAGCCGCCCTTTGGAGCTTTTGCCACGTCCTATTCTCGTGATACTACGATACTTCATTGCCCGTCTGGATTGAGCTAACCGGATCAGTCTAAGCCATAGAAGGAGTCGGGCACATTGAACAATGACACAATATCCTCGGAGCTGACGTGTTGACAGGCTGACAAAGCTGCATAAAGAACTGGCCAAAAGGCTGTTTTTTCACCTCTTAGTCCTTTTTGTTCACCATGAACAGCCAAAAGAGACTGGCCGGATCTAAGTCTGAGTTCGCCTTTGAGCATTTATCCACTGTACTCAGCAAGTCAGTACGTCCTGCAGTCTAGTTTGGGTCAAATCTGCTCCACTTGTGAAACTCTAAGCACTGGCAAGAATAGGATGATATAGGATGCCCTAGTAGCATCCTTGTTCGTAGTCTTTTCCCTATTCACCTTTTGGAGTAGTCCTTTCCCACTTCCTTCTTCCCTATTCAGCCTTCCTTTTCAAGGGACCAACTTTGAGGGTCGGATCACCGAGAGCTGAAAGGTTCCAGCGGAGCAGTTCTCGGGCACTTGGAGATCGTAGCGGATTCCCAGGTAAGTCACCTCGTTCCGACTTCCCAGCGAAACCGGTTTTGAACGCTTGGCTTCCGCTTCCCGAAACGGTGGCTGTACTGGAAATTTAAAACATCAAAACATGATTATTACGCTACTCTCTCTCTATTTGTACCACACTCTGATTTTGCTCCGCAAGTACTCTTCAAGCAATTCCAACCACAAAGCGCGAGAACGATGACTAGCATTTATGAACGCATAGTGAGGTGAGTGGTGCCGCCAAGTGAAGCAACTTGCGGAAGTACCCTTGTTTATCATAAGCCCACAAACCATAAGGTTGGGATTGGAAAGTAAATCCACAGCTGCAAGGTCGTGCTGCTAGTCACAAGCAAATTGTCTCGAAGGTTTCCAAAGGAGAAAGCGATTTGCAAATGTTTGCGGCTGTCGTATCAACTCGTCCAACTGGGTTGGCCGAAATAGCTGGTTTCGTGCTGGGGAACACTAGTTGATTCACTACATTTCAGAGGTAGCAAAAAAGCACCTAACTGTTTCTATAATTAGGAATGTGCATAATCAAGCAAAAAGCGCTACAAACACTCAAAAAGTGCACATGGATCCCTCTCATATCCAACCCATATTGGGGTGGTTCGCCACTTTTCAATTTGCGCTCGTTTTGCGGCAATTTGCGCACGTTTTGCCGCATTTTGTGCGCATTTTGCGGGTTTCCAGCTATGGCCCAAGAAGACTTCAGTGTTCAACATCTTGAAAAAATGTACGTTTCATCAAAAACATTAGAAAGTGCTCGTTTCATCAAAAAACGCTACGAAACTCCAAAAAGTTTTCGTTTCCTTGGTTCGCCAGAAAAAAGTGCTACGATTGAAGGTTCAGGTAACTGTGATGTTCAACCTTGAGTTGCAGCCGGGCTCGAGGAAGTCTTGATGCAGCCATCCCACGCAATGGAAAGTGTGGTCAGTTGTTTCGTTTCTTGAGGCAAAGTAGCTAGTAGAAACAAGTGCATCGCTACTAGTAACAAGAAGCTAGTAGAAACAAAGTAGCTTCTAGCTACCATGGTCAGTTGCCATCCCCTGAAACGGACCGCATGCAAAGGCTTGCAACAGCAAAGAGCGCCAAGACCACAGCACAACCGCAGCGCACTCCCAGCAAACGATGGGTCGAAAAGACAATGACAGGTGACAACACAGCATAGCTCACAAGGCACACTCTTAGTTTGATATCCGGGACTCTACATCGACACATATAAGTTGTTTCTCTTGCAAAGCTGAGGTTTGGTTTACTCTTGTAGGTACCGAATACCGAATCTTGGTTTAAAGTCACCCGGTCGAACACGGCTCGACAGCCCAGCCTGGAATGCATCACCTGGGCTGAGGCCCAGTGGCACGGTGATCTCCACGGTCTCACCCGCTTGGCGGGAGACCTGGGAGCCGAGCGAAGGATTGCATTCCACACACCAAACCAATGACTTTAACTGACTTGCTTGCTATTAGTTTGCACCTATACTTGTTTTATTGATTGCTGTCGTGATTGGCATTGGATCATACTTGCGCGAAATCTATCACCTCACTCTACCAAGCCTGCAAAGTACAGTGACATGCACTTCTCAGCATAGTCTTCGGGGTTGAATTTTCCAATCCCGCAGATGATACTCAAGTGATTATGTAATCTATAAATGATTTATTTATTCCAACTCCACAGTTACTGGACCAGTTTTCCATGGAAGCCCTGCCGGGCGGCCTCAGCAAACATCACCGCCAAGAAGTTCTCATAGGCTTCACCTTGGATATGCTGGAGGCCAACGCTAGTTGGTTGGAGGCCATCGGCAGTAGGTTGGAGGCCATCGGTAGTAGGTACTAGCTACCTCTTCTACTAGCTACCAGCTACTACGTACCTACTGCCTACCTCTCCCGGGCTTCAAAAAAAGGAGGCGTTACACCTTGGATGTCTGGAGTCCTGGAAGCAGAACCTTGAGAGAGTCTTGCATCCGCTCGCAACCACTTCGATTTGCTGGGATGTCCCTTTTTCATGCTAAACGAGCAGCACCGGGGCCCACAAATAACCATAGGATGAACATGCTCCGCTTAGACTACATCCTCCACTTTGGACCTCAACTCTGACCATGCAGATCTTTGCGTACCCTGACTATACCTGCTTACCCCCACTGATCACTAGCACAATCCATCCTGCGATGACGGCACTGGCCGTCACTGCTTCGAGGAAAGCATGGAGGCCATCGTCATATTGAAAGCCATGGCCCTCAGAGTTCCCGGAGAGATCATTCCGGTCCGGGGACTTCAAAGGAATGATGCAGAATGGTTAACTCAACTAACTAGAGCAAATAGAAACATGTTATAATGACAAGTAGGAATTGAAAAGGAATGGGAACAAGAAGCTACTAGGGGCTCCTGGCCTTACTACTAGGAGCAAGGACGCTACTGGGGGCTCCTTGCATCGCTACTAGGAACAAAAGTACGCTACTATTTGTTCCTTGTAGCGTCCTTGTTCCTAGTAGTAAGGCCAGGAGCCCCTAGTAGCTTCTTGCTCCTAGTAGCGATGCCAGGAGCCCCTAGTAGCGTCCTTGGGTATATTGGAAAATCGCTTTGATCAATCAGTACTTCATCGAATCCTGACAGTCGGAGTACGTGCTCCAAGCTCCAATATTGCAAGTGAGTCCGATGGAGAAGCGTAGGGCCCAACACCCCCAACGAGGTACGACCAGGTCAGTCAGGTCTCACGGAACTAGTCTCGCTTGGGCCGAGGCACGAAGTCACTCTGTAGCCAATGGCAAAGCTCCGTGAGTTCAGCTTCGGTGATGCTCAACGAGGCCAGGATCTTCCTGAACAAGATGCCGTTGCATTGACGACGAGCGATGGAAGTGAGGGCCAACTGGGCCAACGGTTATTCTGTTCTTTACCCCAAATTGTCTTGCATAATTAATCGTTATAACATGTTACAAGTAAAGAGTTTCCTGCTCATCTGGACGCTTTGGGTATTCAACAACGGCAAGTGCTTGCACTTACGGTGCTTGCAGGAGCTGCTCTTCTTTGTCCAACCAGCCCGTCTGTGATGCAACTGAGCCGCTGCATCTGGCGTTCAAAGATCGAGCGGTACTCGTTGTGATAGGCTTTCCAAACCTAACAGATCTTGGCATGTCCCAAGACAACAGACCCCAAAAACGCTACATCATCACCGTGAGAGCAGCAACGGAATCCTGGCAACTTCTCCTTGTGATGTTTGTTCGGATCGTTTTTTCAACGGATCCCTCGACGTGCGGTCTTCGTGCCGATCAGAAGTTCACCCTTGAAAGCCCAAGGATGCGAAGGATGCGAAGGCGATTGAAACGAAGAACGTCACATGCACCCATGGTGTAATTACGATGTCAATTTTATTCCACCTTGAACCCCAGCAAAACATTGGACAAGGAACTAGCGGATAACTACCATCCTCGCAAAGGACAAGGAAAGATGAAGCCCGTCCAACGATGAAGTCCTGCGGCGGTTGCATCGGAGTTGGAGACCAAGGACTGATTTGTGGCAAAACAGTTTGGGTATTCTAGTAGTAAGAATGCTCCTAGTAGCGATGCCAGGAGCCCCTAGTAGCGTCCTTGCTCCTAGTAGTAAGGCCAGGAGCCCCTAGTAGCTTCTTGTTCCGCCTTAAGGACTAGTTAGGCGCCTACTTCAAGCAAGGAAGAAAGCTACTAGCTACGCTAGCTACTAGTTAGTTTCTAGTAACTGGACGCAGGATACCTCACGCTTCCTTGAAGAAGTGCTTGCACCAATGATGTGGTTCCTAGATTTTCAGGGAAACTTACTTGTGAAGGGTCCTGCCTTAAATAGCCCCATTTGTCAAAGAGTCTAGAGCTCATTCTCCCAAATGCAGTAGTTGTGGAATATGTTCTCCTAGAGTTGTTGAAACGCCAGTGGTGTCGAAAGGCCAACAAATCTCGTACTAGAGCTACCATACTAGGAACAAGAAGCTACTAGGGGCTCCTGGCATCGCTACTAGGAGCAAGGATGCTACTAGGCTCCTGGCATCGCTACTAGGAGCAAGGACGCTACTAGGGGCTCCTGGCATCGCTACTAGGAGCAAGGACGCTACTAGGGGCTCCTGGCATCGCTACGAACGGAGCATTCTTACTACTATCCATTGTTTTGCCACCCACTCCGACGCCTTAACATCCGGAATCTGCTCAGACCAAACTAAACCCATTGCTTCAGTGACAACGACAAGTAGCTTACTGGATCAAGCAGCCGTCCTGCAGCTCCTGTCGAAAGGTAGCGTCTTGCAGAAAGCCACTGACAAGCGGTTCCAAGCACGAGCCTGACGAAAATGACAAGTGTTCCTGCACGTTGCTAAGTGACATCTGCGTTCATTGGGTGGAAGAATCTTCAGATGTGGGATGTTTTAAAGTACATCAGTGCAGCTGAAAGGCCACAAACGGGCGCCAATGTTGCTAGCCGCTCATACGTGGCTTCAGCACCCACTGCTGGGGCAGGTGGTGGCGGCGGAGCATGATATGCATCCTCCATGGGATCAAAGCTTCGCTAAGCCATTCCTTCGAAAAAGCAACTTCTGCTGAGGTGTGGCCAGTTGTTTCACGGTGCTCAAAGATGGGTGCATAAGAAACTCAAAAGAAACCCCCAGGTCAATAAGGTGGAAACTTTCTTCGCAGACTTGCAGACCCTTTCACCTTTCCTTCTTGCCTGTAATAGTAAAGTGGAAAACTGTGTTAAACGACAACTGCATCAGTGTTCCTAACAGCATTGTGTTCTCAAGCTGAGAAAGAGCTCACGCATTTCCCAATGTGGCAGCATGATGGGAGCTGGTGGCAAGTTGGCTTTAAACGCAATTTTAAAGTCAATCTTTTGTGCTGATGCTACGTGCTTGAGACTTGATTTGGAGCTGCGAGGAGAGAGAGCAAAGAGCTCGGCTCTGGAGCCGACTATGGGAACTGCCCATTGCATGTCATGTTGCATCAGTCAAAGAAGTTTTGAAGAGAATTCGATGTCTCCTACTCATTGCTATTACTAGTAGGTTGGAGGCCATCGCTGGACATCGAATTCAATGTCTTCTACTCCAGTCTCAAGACATAGGTAAGCCATGGTAAGCCGATGTCCATGTCGGGACATCCTCTAGGCTCCCAACTTGAAACGGTGCGCCGTCCATCTACCAATCATGTCCCCCAGGTTGATGACAAAGGCATTCTCGACCTCAGCCGCTGCCACAAAAACTTCACAGCGATGCCCTTTGCTCCATTCGTAGCATCCTCTTGCTCCTAGTAGTAAGGCCAGGGGCCCCTAGTAGCTTCTTGTCTTTCTCTTTTGTTCTCTCTGAGATTCTTTGGATCCAACTTACCTTTGGGGGGTGGGAGGAAGCTTCTTGTTAAATTGAATTAAACTAAATTGAATTAAATTAAATTAAATTAACTACACTAGCCATGCACTTGTAATTACTAGCAAAGGAATCTACCAGATATTTTTTTGAAACATTTTGCTTGCTCGCTTCATTTCACTCACAGTGAGGGACAGTTGCTGAGGCGAGCTCTGGGCAGCAATGTACCCAAACACCATCTTTGGCATTCAACACCTGTCCGCCATGAAGGATGACTGAACTGCTAGCGGTCGGTGATGCCAGTCTTGGAGACACAAACCCACTCTGATATCTAACGATAGAGCTCTTTTTGCTTCCGAATGAAAACTCACGAAACCTCCGTGTCGCGGTGTTTGACACGGAGCTCTTCCCGACAAAGCGGGCAAGACTGTGAGACTCGCAACCAATTGGACAAGCACAAGCGATGGAAGACGTGCATGTCGCTTCTGCAGGGTCTGACGATGCGCTGGTCCCCAGCGAAGTCACCCAAACAAATGGAACAAGTGGTGACGCTGCGGCCGACCTCTGCAACCTTAGAGTTCGATTGAAACGATGGATTTCCAAGCACCAAGCATTTCCGGATCCTTTTTGGGGACACAAACGAATGGACAAGAAATGAAATCACTTGTGCATTGCTGAGCAACAAATTGTACATCTCGGAATTCACGTGCAAGGTCTGTGTCTGGTTTTGGCAGCAGGCGTTTCAAACCTGGCCAAAGCATGCTAAACAGAGCGACAAAGACCTCGAGAAAGTATGGTGCTAACAAAAGCCAGCCAGTCTGCCGCAAGATTTTGCCTTACTTGCACCATTCTTGGAAGTGCTGGCTACCCACAAAAAAACGATAGAAAACATGTCATACGTGAAGCGAGTGGTTCAGCACGATAAGCTACCATTAACCCAAGGGTTAGACCATGTTAGACCCTTACTGGTTGAGCCAACCCAGTCTGCCAAGCACAAAGCCATTCCGAAGCAAAAGCACAACATTTATGGGCAAATGTTAGGACAAGGACTCGATGAATGGCTTTCTAACCTGTCCAAAAAGAATGTAGAAACCTGGTGTCCCAAAACAAGCGGCTGCATCCTTCTGCATTGGTCTTCCGCAATGAAATAAAAGTGACGGTAGGCCAACACACTTCAAAGGCCACTGCCAGCGGCTTCAGCAAATACTGAAAGAGCCGCACTGAGAGGCTTCGGTGATCAAGGGGCCTCTCTTCTTCGTACTTGGCGTATGAAACGAGGATGAAGACCTTACTTGTTCATTTGTAAGCAACATCGGTCGAACCAGAAAAGATTTTGTCCTTTGATAGTGGCTGCTTCAATCCTCTGAAATAGAAAGACAGCAACAAGATACGACGATGGATGCCAGAAAAGCTGTTTTTTCTCATCTCAGTGACTTTGATCCAGAAGACAATCCAAAAGCACTGCTGTAAGTGGCCGATGGGCTGGTCACAAGGGTCCTCCCAATGTCCGTAGAGCCAGAAGATCAATTCCTTGAAGATCTCTTCTGAGAAGATCATGTCCCATGTCAACGTCAAGAAGAAGCTGAAGCACATTGCCTGAACTGATTATATACTAGGAACAAGACGCTACCAGGGGGTCCTGGCATCGCTACTAGGAGCGATCGGACGCTACGAACGGGGCTCCTGGCCGTACTACTAGGAGCAAGAAGCTACTAGTAACATATGGGCCTGTGGGTGGGTATTTTCATCGGGAGACCGTTGACCAATGGGTTTTGGTCTATTGAATCTATTGTCAGGGGTCCAACTGGAAAGTCTACCATTTTAACACACTCATACCTCAAACTATCTTACGGCGTAATCTCCAAGCATGATTAAGTATATATGTACACCGGCAGCTGCTTCAACTTCCCACATGGTTCGTAAAGTGTATCATTCCAGTGGGTGCCAAAGTAAAATCCCTGTTTGAAACAGTTCCGATCCGAGTTTATTTCAATGGAACATGAACAGCATCATGCTTTTGAGCAAACCAAAGTACCAGTGTAATCAGGAATGACATCAGCATTGTAGACATCTGCAGGAAGCCTATCATCTGTTGCAGCACTGTGAGTGCTGCCCAACGCCTTGCACTCCGTGAAGTGGAAAACATGGCAGGCATTGCTAATTTAGAGATCGTCTCGGTGATCCTGTGAATAGGGAATCCACCTCAATGGGTATAGGTTGCCAGTCACTCTGTACTTCGACTGTCATGCAGTGAGGTCGTTTAAGTCTCAGGTCGTTTACGTCTAAGTTTGTCGGGGCCAAATGTTTTTTGATACCAAATCTGTGCCATGTGGGTTCCAACACGAATGAGTGGACCCCTTACTGGCCCCTTACCAGTAACAGGTGCCATGCTAGTAGTAACAAGTGCCTTACTAGTAGTAACAAGAAGCTAGTAGAAACAAGTGCATCGCTTCTAGTAACAAGTGCCTTACTAGTAGTAACAAGAAGCTACTAGGAACAAGTCACCAATTGAATGTTCACCCCTCTGAGGCCGTATTGGCACAGTCGATGTGCGCTGTGAAAAGGAATGGCGGCATTTAGGGAAACGCAGGTCCACTCGAACGACAGAAACGAGTGGACCTTCCAGGTTTTAGCGAAGCTAAGGAGACGTTACTTCTCTAGAGAAGAACAAAGACAAAAAACAACTTGTCCGTTAGTAACAAGAAGCTACTAGGGGCTCCTGGCCGTACTACTAGGAGCATTCTTGCTACTAGTAACAAGAACGCGATGAGGGGCTCCTGGCATCGCTACTACTAGGGGCTCCTGGCCTTCCTCCAAGTCTTGGGAGCAAAAGCCTTCACGGATTCGTGGCCTTTTTCGGCGAGTCGAGCGGAGTGATGTTCCGTTCCCGGCCTGGAGTCCGCCAACCATATCCTGGAGAACAGGAGAGATGGACCGATCCGGAGAAGGGAAAGAAGAGAACCGTTAACGCCGTTAACTACTAGTAACAAGGGCATTTCTACTAGTAGCAAGAAACTACTAGTAACAAGGTGCATCGCTACTGATGAAAGAAGACAACCGTCAATTGAGAACTTGTTGCGCCATGTTGTGCCGTCACTGCTTTGAGATACACGCAGAATCCAAGTGTGATATATGTTGGGTAAAGCCAAAAGAGCAACACAGTCAGCTACAAAACGAGGGAGGAACACAAAGACAAAAGAAAGAAAGGCCTCACGGCCAACTCTACCCCACCCAAGCTTTCAAATGAAACCACACGAGTAACCTCACCCCAATTCTTGAACTCAACAAGCCTACTTTCATGTCTTCTTTCTCTGCTGCTCCTGCTTCAAGATGGTCAACAGCCCGTAATCCGTATGCTCCCCAACGCCGATCTCCAAATTGAAATCCTGGCGATGGCGCGGGTGTCACTTCCATTTCGCTCGTTTTACTCAGTTTGTGTTTTTGTTGACGGCCGACTGGGCCTTGATAGGCCAATAGTGCAGCAGCCGATGAGTGGCAACCTGGAGAGAAAAAGGGCTGGATGTTCCACGATCACCGGAAAATCAAGGAGCTCACGGTTCTGTGGCCAGCTAGACCTTTAGATCATTGGCAAATTAATGAGAAGACATCAAGTTTAGAATCATTCATAAGATAAGGAACCCGCCTGACCTAGTTGACATTGACTATGGGTACCCGAGCTCGAGATACAGTCTGAGCACTAGTCTCAGCATATTGGGAATCACGACGCACTGAGTCTCAAAGATAATTTCCGTGTCCACTCCAATCTCCACACGGCTTATCTGAGCTCCGCACCGGCTGGTCTAAAAACCTTGCCGGGGACCCGAACTCGCCACCCCCCCAAACTTTGATTATAAAAGAACAAGTCAGCGTGCCCTTCTCGGGGCTTCCAAAAAAAGAGACACGCACTCCGTGGGAAGAGATCTCTATTGTTTTCCTGATTAGTGAAAAAATGTGAAACGAATGTTTTCCTTTCTTGTGGTTTCTTTCTTTAGACTTATTTTTGTGTTTTGGTGTTTGTCGTTCTAATCTTGAGGCCCTTCTTCCCTTTTTTGGTCTTTAGACCGTTCTTTCTGCCTCGCAGTGCTTAAGTTTTCTGGTCGCGTGTCTCTTCTTGTCTTCTCTTTCTTTTCTGTGTCTTCTTTTCTTTCTTGTCAAAACCGAGCACTTTGGCTTTCCGTCTTGCCACACGTAATCACCCGTTTCGACCTAATTGTCCCAAAAGGCGATTCGCTCCCAAATCCACATGGCCAAGTCACTGGTGGAAGAAATCTCTGGGCTTTCCTAAGATCAACGCCATCAGCTCAAGCAACCTGGCATTCGCGATAAAAACAATGTAGCTAGTCGAGATGAGTCCAAAACTGAAGAGTTGATGAAGGCCAAAAGGAAATCATCAAGCTGCCTAGATCTGGAATCTGAGATGTCAGGGTACCGCAGGGAACTGCGGTTGTAAATACCACTGGACCTCTGGCGCATGGACCTATCGGACCTCCCGATGAGCCAAAGTGCAGTCCTTGTACTAGCGATGGCCTCCAGTTGCCTGTATCCGTCAGTTGTAGTGATGGAGTGATGTTTATCTTGAAGAGAAAACATCTCGGAGCCTGCCTCTTTGAGAGCTTGAACATCTCTAAGGCCTTGGATCTTCACTCTGTGAGGCTGTTGGAGATGTCGTGTTAGTCGCATTTAGAAGGGATATGATATAGTGGTTCAATCAGTTTGATTGATGATATTAATGGTTTGTACAGTAACATAAATAACATCATAATAAAGTGGCACGTGCTGTTGCTAGGCAAATCCTGCACCCAGGATGGCTGAAATAGCAAGAATGAATATGAGGGAAGGCCGTCTTGAGACCCCTGGTTACCAAATGTTACCAGGGCTTGAAGCATTCTTCAAAATATCCTGGGTTTGATCGTGCCCTCCAGAAACTGTGCCCTGTTGGAGCAAATTGGGAACCTCGGAACTGGTCCAAGCTGCTGTGATCCGCCGATGTACCCTCAGTGCTTCGACGAACGTCTAGAAATGTTAAACACGGCACCATTGTTCATCTCAGAACCATCTCCATCGTTCATCATCTTCCCCCTTCCATTCCGTTTTCTCATCACCCGGAAACAACCAAGCAGCATATTGTTCCATGACTTCCCTGAACCCTGGAAGCTCCTCCTGCGGTGCTTCAGCAAATAAAGAAGCTTTCGGACTAAGCTGGAGGTTTGTGATCCAATTCTTGAGGCGTTGGTCTTTGGGTAACATATGGGTTACCGTAATTCTAATGACATTAGGTAGTGTCTTGAAGGACCAGCAAACAAACACCCGGACGCTCTCTCTCTCTCTCTCTTTCCTGCTATATATTTCTCTCTACCTCAATGGCTTTCCCTTGGAGAAGAGTCTTTTGTTCCTCACTCGGTCTCCTCGGAAGGCATCTGCGAAGGCCTTGCAACAATCAGAATAGGTTGTGGATCTAACCCATGGTCCCAAAGCCAAATGGGAATGCCAAACACACAGAGAGCTGGATCATCTCCTATTGAAGTAGCAGTAGAACATATAAGAATACCTCGACCTTGACAAAAGGATCCGCAACGGAACTACCCATTCATATAGAGTTCTTCACTGAGCTGAGCTCACTGGGTAGTGAATTTGGTCCCTGACAATCTCCTTCCAAAAGATCTTTTCAGGGACAAACAAAGGGAACCTATTCAAATCAGCAAGTGGATATGTCATTGACTTAAAAAAAACGAGAACGCTTCCGCAGTAAAGCTGCGCTCTTGGCATCCCTGCTGGCCGAAAATTTCTCCGATAAAGCCTCCCTTAGGCTTGGCCCAAGGGACGCCATTCATGTCCAAGGCCTGCGCTTTTGGTCGCGTGTGACACAACTATAGTAACTATAGCCCAGTAGAAGCCCCACAACAGCGCAACCCCATGCAAAACCCAGCAAGGAAGTCGACTCGGCCTTTGTTGGGTGCTTTTGCATGTGCCCTTCCATCAGTAACACTTCAGTTTCTGAGTACAAAACGAGGCAGGTTGCTGGACAGGATTGGACGGGTGTCATCTCCCGATATTATCAAGAGGAGCCGGACCACAGGTCTGACCACAGCTGAGAGTTCCGTTCAGCGCCTCCTTGCAGTCCTTCCGAGATTTTTGGATGGAGTCCTGCACGTGAAACAGCCCAGCGCCTAGAAGCGCCTAGCAGCCCCTAGCATCACGCTACTTCTGTTTTGCACACCGCTTCAGGTCAACTTGCGCTTGATGAACTTCATGACTCAAAATCATCAACTCTCGACAGTCCCACTTGGCATGGCAAGTTGCCAGTCCTTGCCATTGGCTTCGTCCACCTCCGATACGGAAGAATGCGGAAGGTTTCAAGGAGTGGACTCAACAAACAACATGAGTTGATCACTTCACTTCAATAGATGGTTTTGTGAGTCCCAAATCTCATAGTCCCTGTGCAAATGACCCAATTACCTTCTGTCTAGATGCACATGTTTCTCCGTCACATGCCGCCGGCTCCACCGAATTACCCCCGCTTTTCACAGTCGCAACACTGTGTTTCCTTGTTTCACTGCAAAGCGCCAAAAACTGGCAACGTTCTCGGTGGCCAACAGCCAAAAAAACTCACCGAGCAGTCAGCCTGGCCTGTTTCTCAAGTACTTGGTCCAAGTCCTGCGATAATTTCTGCACTCAACTATATATATATATAAATTATATAAATCAGTGCAAAACAAGATCATGTGTCACATTGTGTCACACAACTGAACAAGTTCCTCGTTTTCGTGATGCTTGCTTGCAGTTCCATTCCACATGTTCCTCCGACCACGGTCTGGAGAGTTTCACAAACCATGTACTATGTCAGTGGGCAGAGTGGTAGCCACTGGACAGTGGTGGAGTGGGGATGAGGAAAAGGCGTAAGAAGCGCCTCACCCTCACATTGTATGGAAAGGCGAATAGGCCAGACTGCGTGACCACTCAAACCACTCACATGCGAGCCCGCGCTCCTCACCACCTCGACCAAAGTACCCGCGCACGAGGCCTTGGCCAAAACACATTCGGAAACATCAACACAAAATCTATGTGAGTGCGAAAGCCATGTGCATTTTTCCTGGTGGGATATCAAATATACTGCTATTAATAATATTACTACGAACTATTGTCACGAATAGATCGAGAGCTCAATCTAGAATGTTACGATTCAAGCTCTTCACAAATTTATGAACGTTATGAATTTCTCGCTTTTCCTTCGGTTGAGGCTCCCACTTTCCTCACGAAGCCGCAGTTTGTCCTGAGAGCATGGACTGTGGGGAACCGTCTTTCGACAAAGATTACCAAAAGATCTGAATGTTGGGGATGCAGCACTGACCTGGCAAGGGCAAGGACTATCTGACTATCACCTGAAGATGAAAGAGCATCTTTCCATGTGTTTCTTGGAAACACTCCAGAACAGTGACTGTGTCTTGCATTTTTGGAGCGAGGGCAAGGCTCAGTATTTGTTGGGCTATATAAATTTTGCAAGCTTTGCATGCTTTGCCCACGCCTTCTTTTCCTGGGAGAGCTGGAAGAATCTCTTCTGAAGATCCTGAAGATCGCACGATCGCACTTTGTTGCGTCTGTGTCTGTCCGTTGTCCGCTGGACAATTAGGATTCAGGAGTGGTTTAACAAGCAGCCTCAGTGATGTGAGGGAAGAAATGAGAAATGCGAGAGATCAACTTTTAGGAGCGAAAAGCAGCTCTTCTATCACTGTAGATGTATCTAAAATGGCTGTCCTCGATCGGATCAAAAGCACCGACCCCGACCACCTCGCGATCACCACCGTAAAATCCCCTTACCCTGAGCTTCGGAAATTCCCAAACTGGGACCTCGGACCAAGGCCTTCTCCTGCAACTCCAATGGAACGCCATGCCTGAGAAAGGACTGGACGACAAGCCGATGGGAGAGAAACAAACATTGGTCAAGCTATGGTCTTGGAGGAGACAAAAAGGCTACCAGCAAAGCCCATCATCTGAGATGTCAATACGCCTTTCAGAAGTTTGAAACGCCATGAAACAAGAATGGTGGCCATCGCTAGTAGGTTGGAGGCCATCACTACTCGGTTGGAGGCCATTACTACTAGTAGCAACGACGCTACTACGGTGGAGTCTAATGGAACCTTTGAGGCGACTTTGAGGAAGACTTTCTGCTAAATACTGTTCTTCCACGCTCGCATCCATCTTTGCACAGCTTCCGAGCTCCACACCCCACAACTTGCATGAAACCCACCACCTCAGGTTGTAGTGGCATGTCATGCTGGTGGGGTTGAAGAATATCGTGCAATGCCTTCCACCTGTACTCCACGAGCAAGTTGTGTAGTGTAATCTTCTGGGATCCATATTCTAGTGACCAAAGCTATGCGAACATGTCATCAATGAGCGAGTGCAGTATGATATGCTTCTTAGGCCTCGCAAGAGTAGGTCAACTTCTTGATGACTTCGGCCTGGCAAAACCAACAAATACTTGGTGCAGAAGGCAAAAAGGATCAAACAGGAGGTAAACATCGGCAAACATTCTTCTCATTGATACAAGCCAGCAGGCAGAAGCATCAAAAAGCCCCACGTGAGTCATTGAAGTCCATCGCATCATTTCGCAAGAACCAAATCCCGAACTGTTCGGGAAGCCTCGCTGAGAGCCAAATCGATGATGGGGATCTGTTCGAACGACTTTGGATCCACAATCTTCGCCTCTACGGACGACAGCGACAACCGAACACTGGAGACAATTCAGTCATTTTGCGTGCCAACATTTATTGTCTCCAGGTTCCTAGTAGCCTCTTGTTACTACTAGTAAGGCACCTGTTACTACT